GTAGCAATAAAAAATTATATTAATAAAAAAATGAATCGAATTTTAGATAAAATTATTATGCAAAACAATTTTTATTTTAACCGTCATTACTTTCTGCCAGAACTGTATTATCGTTAGATACGTAGCGGATTCCGTGGATTGCAATTTTTTTTACAAAAAACATTAACTTACGCATTACAGAGCACTTTTATAACATATTAGAAATAATATATTACGAAAAAAAAGGCAACATTAAGTTTGAATGTTCTGTACGATATTTACACGAAATGCATTTAGACCATCAGTTGAAGGCTCTGATACTATCAATTATCAATGGCGAAAAGTATTTATAAATTCTTAAAACTTATCTTTTACTGTTTTTATATATTTTTCGAGGTAAAAGAATGGAAATATTGAATCATTTTTTTTTGGTCTACACAAAATCCCGATGGAGAGACGAGTTAGTGTACGAAGGAAGAATGGAATTTAATCGAGCCTAAAACTTTTAAATAAATTAGTTGATAGCATGCCTCGTAGAGTTAGTTAAAGCTGTTAAAACGGAAAAGGCTATCCTATGACATATTAAATTATATTTAATAAATTTGATTATCGTTATATTAATATTCACAATTGTAATTTGAATAACTTCGTAAACTGTATAATGGAACACGTTAAGCCATATGATCCCTCTAATTATTTTTAAAATACTTTTTTTCTAACATATGCCGGATTGTTTTGCCGGGTTGATCAAAAAATTTACACATCCCTATGGTATGGATATCGCATAACTTTTGAATATAATAGCTCAATATTTTGATTGTTGAATTTAATTTAAATAAAATTAGTATATTTAATTCCTTTTGTTAAGAGGAATTGAATGGTATCAATTTTATGGGAAGTTGAGTTGCATTCAAAAGTCATGTTATTAAATTTAAAATTTAATTTAATAATATGTATTTGAAATTTTATTTGTTTACAAAATTTTAAACGAAACCTCTTCTATAGTCACACCTCTTTATAATCACGTTTTTTATTGTATTTTGAAAACTTCATGTGAGAAACTGTTTATAAAAAATTTAATCATGATTCGACAAAAAATAAATTGTATTAGCATGCTTTAAAGTTTCAAATCCCAAAATTTAATCCACAAAGATCGTTATAGATCAAATTGTTTTAAACATACAAGTTATTGTTCAATTATAAAACTAAAATTTCATTATAATGAATGTTCCATCCTAATAATAACAACCATGTTAAATTTTCATTGCGTATCGTATATTCGAGAAGACCGCGTTGTTTTATTGATAAAAAATTGACAAGATAAAAGTTTTAATTTTTATACAAAGATAATTATGAAACAAAGTTTCTTTCATATACCAAGGATCTCTTGATTTCGATATAAGATTTTTAATAAATAAATAAATAAATAAATAAATAAATAAATAAATCAATTAATTAATTAAGCAAAAAACACCAATATGTATGTCATGATGGTAAGTTTCAGAGAAGATTGAAGAAAATCGTAGTAAATACAATTAATAAAGTCATAAATCCATTGTAAATTATTGACGAAGCTGAACCTATTTTAGCTGAATTGTCAGCTGAATTCGAACCACTATTATTGACGTTTGTGGTAACTACTCCTTTAAATGCTGTAGCATTCGTGTCGTTTCTGTTCAATGAACTATTTTAAGTAAAAAAAAATTAACATTAATAAATAATTTACGAATGCATTACATTAACATATTCAAGAAAAGAAATATTTTACCTCAAATTCCAATTAATTTCAACTGTTTTCAATAATGAATAATGATCATATGCGGTATTATCCGTCGTGTTTTTGTATTGAGCGACTGGTGACCCAAGCAACACGGTATAAATGTGATTAGTCTCCTGTCCTGGTGTGACCTCTCCTTCGTCAAATGTGATGACGTAGAGAGTATTATTCGACGCCGTTTTGTTTGCAAGCATAGGATCCAAGAACTTGCTGAGATAGCTTGCCACGAATGTAACGTTTGTGTCGTGGCCGTCGTTGTCCATATTTGGGGTGTAAAATATGTAGTTGGGAAGTTTGCCATTGTTCAAGTCTGATTGGAATTGAGTTTCATTAGCAATGTTTGCACATCTTGTCGCATTGGAACTAGATAAATAAAATATTAATTAGCTGGTTCTCATTTATTAACGTAAGTAAATATTTGTGTTATTGAAACTTACTATATATTTGTGAATGAGATGAACGGAGTATGTTTCCTATAGTATTTGGTGCTATTTTGACCGAGGAAGCAATTCCCTGGGTACTAAAAATACATTTCGAATCAGATCGGATCGAATAAAAAAAAGAACGAACGCGCTTAACTAAGAACATACGTTTTCAGCATAATTCTTCCAGGTCAGCTTTTTTTCTTCCAAACTATCTATTTTTTTTTTTTTTACAAAATAAATCGATTTATTTATAGGTAACGAAATTGTAACCTAAAATGAAATAATATATATATATATACGAACCGGCAATTGAAGAGCCACTGATGTTCATATTACTGTCGTCAGCCCCAAATGTATTCCCGGCTACCATGGCAAAGTAGTTTGGTTGACTGGGATGCGTGACCTAAAGGAGTCATATCGTATGAAATTATTAGAAAGTTTCTCTTAAAATCATTATTTTTTCATTGAACTATTCATATACTTACTCCAGAGTAATTAGTGAATAAAATTCCTTGCGTCGTAAGATTCCTCATGTAGGTATTATTCATTACCACTGTAAATACAATAAACAAATTAATCATTATAAATAGCAAAGAATAATTAGAAAAGAAATAGCGCATTATCTTCTTACCATCGTAATCCATATCCTCTAGCACGATAATAAAGATGCGGTCAAATTTAATAACCTTTGGGTCAGGTGTATTCTTGCTGGTGGTAGTTGTATTGCTGGTAGTACTATTATTACTATTGCTGGTGGTAGTACTATTACCGGTGGTGGTATTAGAAGGAATGGTTGTATTAGAAGGAATTGTTGTATTAGAAGGAATTGTTGCATTAGAAGAAACTGTCGTATTAGGAGTCGTAGTCGTATTAGTTATACTTGGTGCAGTAGAATTAGCAGTGCTCGAGTCAGCTGCAACTGCTAATCCCACAAGGGCCATCAAGAATAATAACGATAAGAGAGATCTTGTCAGCATTATGATTTTTCAACAAATATGATTATTAAATATGATTATTAAATTTCTTATCGTAAATTTTTTTTTAAAACTTACAAAGGAAGCAATTGCACTTATATATCTAATTTTCGTTTCGGAAACAATAATACCCTGACCGAAACGTCTATTATTGTTGTATTATTATTGTAGTGTAGTCTTATTTGATCGGCCCACTATTATTGTATTCTTATTTTCACTGCATTATAATTCATGAAATCGGGTATTTTGCATTCTCGTCTATTTTTTTTCGCGCGAATCTACAATGTACATTATATATGCACCAAAAATATGTAATTAAAAAAAAAATAGCCGAAAAAAAATGATTTCATAATTAAATTTTTCCAAAGTAACTTTAAACGCGATTTTTTCAGTTAGTGAATTTTTGACACTAACGTTAAACCGAGGCAACAAATGTTTTGCAACGTTTACATATTTCGATTCAATTTGTCAAAAGTTGGCTGATTCTACGAAAATAACCAAATCAGGTAAATAAAAAATTTTGTAGAACAACAGCGATTGAGTTTGAGATTATGCATCTTCTATTTATTTCATGTATCGATAGCGTGAATTTATTGGATGTATGTATATGTGTGTCATCGAATTGATGTTCTTTGTTAGTTCCCATTTTTCTCCATCGAAAAGAATTTAGGCTACATATAATGTGTATTTTCAAAAATAAATAGTTACATAAAAATCAAGGTTTCACGGAATAAAATTGCGGTAAGGATCAAATACTTTTAGTTAGAAAATGGTGGTGTATTGAAATTAAGATGACCAAGATAAATAATAATTCTCCATTTGCCTCGACAAATGACAAATTCTTTTTATAAAAAAAAATTACCTGTTTAGATGGCGTTATTTTAACACATTGGCCAATCAGAAAGTGAGATTGATGCAATGTGAATTCTGTCCAGTGTTCTGAATGAGGGATTAACTATGATTTATGTCTCATCATCTAATTAATGATGGGATGGGACCGCCTTGAAATTCAATTGATACACCAAATAAGGTTGGTAAAAGTTTATTTTAATTAAGCAATTGATAATGGAAATTGTTAAGCACGAATAAATAAAAATCAGCCATTAATTATGTCTGCCAAACAAAATGGCATATCGATATTTGCTGTCTGTGTTCTTATATTTGATTCCCGGATAAGGGTTTTTAATACAACAACGGAAAGATATTAACTTTAATAAAGGGAATAAACCCCACTATTATTTAGTTACTCCTAGAAACAAAGTTCGGTTTATCAAAGTTTCAATTAGTGCTTCGGTCTAACTCGGAGGGTTGACTATGTGAATACATTCTATCTACAAAACAACGAAATTTTATGGCGACAGCAACTATGAGAATATTCTGATTGAAACATTTCTTGTATTATACCTTTGTCGACGCGAAGAATGTCACATCATCAATAACGTACGGTAAAAGCCCATAAATTGTATCCAGTAATATTTGCATTCCGTGCAAGACATACCGGATGGTTTATGCAACACATTTTACTATAAATTTTTTGTTAACATAAAGTAGGAAATCTTTATCGAGTTTTTCCATGTAGAATTGATGACATTTGAATTCCAATTATTACAAAGGATTCAAACGATATTTGGAATTTGTCGGTGTTCACATCTCAACTCTATTATTAGTTATATGTTCTCCATGATGTATTATTCGCATATGATGTATATTGGCTGTATTGCGCATGTCCAAATTCTATTATGCAGTTTATGTGATTTTATGTGATTTGTATAAAATCATTGTGGGTTGCCTTTTGTCTAAATGCAGTATTTAACATATGATGGGTGGATTTGTGTGACTTTTTTCAGTATGAAGGGCACTCAACCCATGGTGACACTGCTATTTTCAACGAACGATTCCACTTACTAGTAGAATAAGGCGACTTGTGTTTGGCGTGGAGCAAACCATTGTATCACATTTATTGTTTTCGAATACGCTTGCAAGTTGAAGTATGATTGGTGAATTTCATAAAGTTAGACAGTATCGTTTTGTTAAAAGAAGTTTTTTATTAGCTACAAATTACAATTCCTCTCCATCAAGGTAAGAATATTAACGAATTCTTTTACAGTAAGTTTTTTAAGCAGTTAATAAATAGTATTACGAATGAACATTGGCAGGTGCATTATAATTACTACGAAAATTACCTTAAAAACTATTTATAAAAATTACCATTATAAGAAGATGAAAAACTAACAGACGTCAAGAAAAGGTTTTGAATGACGAATGATCCGTCAAAAAACGTTTGGTGGGACAATTTTTATCCTAACCTTAAAAATCAACCTTTACGTAATTTTTTCGAGATCGACAAAACCTGCCAACATCCCCTTTTATTGAATTTGTCGATCTTGTAAAACAAATTAAAGATGGTAAGGATTAACAAGAAATTATTGGTTGGTTTGTGTTACCGAAGCATTTTATTAAATCGACCAACAAAATTGATTGCCAATTTGGAATCAATAGATTTTTTTATACCATTTGATTCATTGAGTCAAGATAAATCAAATGATGATAAAATCACATGCCTTGGGCCGAGATATTGCGTCCGAGATCAATTTTGGATACAAAAAATTGTGATCGTCAAAAAAAAATTTTAATTCGTTCAATTTCGGAACGTGTCCAATGATACAATCCACGTGATTTTATCACCATTTGATTCGTCTAGTCAAATGATACCGATACTAAAATATGTGATCTGTAAAGTGTCCGGTGACTTTCCTCCGCCGAGTGTAAATTATGAGTAAAAAAATAATTCAATTCTCTGGCCACAATTATTTTCGACAACGATTGATTTTGGCTACATTAAGCGGGAAAACTGTGAAAATCGATAAAATTCGATCAGATGATGAAAATCCTGGGCTTCGAGGTAATTTATTTGGTTTATTTTCTTGATTTGTCTTTTTGTTTGTAAATTTGATCATTTATTTCTATTGATAGATTTCGAGGCAAGTTTTTTGAGATTATTGGAGAAAGTTACCAATGGATCTGTCATCGAGATTAGCTATACTGGTATAAACTATTTGTCATTTAATGTTGAGGAAAAATCCCTTAAATTTTAATTTTGCTTCCTCTATTCTTCTTTCTCTAAAAATATAAACATAGGCACATCTGTTCTCTACAAACCAGGCGTGATCACCGGGGGAAAAATATCACATGATTGTGGCACAGCGCGCGCAATCGGATATTATCTTGAGCCAATGATAGCAATCGCACCGTTCGCTAAATCCCCGTTCAATTTGACGTTGAGTGGAATTACTAATGATAATGTGGATGTTTCGGTTTGTTTCTTATTCTATGTGACGATTATTTGGTAATCTTATTTTTTTTGATATTAATAATAGTAACAATAAAAAATAGGTTGATCTAATACGTACAGTCACATTATTGCAATTAAGAAGATTCGGTGTTGGTGATGGGATAGAGTTGAAGGAAAGCATTGATTACATGCATTATATGAGCGAGAGTAATAAAAAAATCAATAACGTGAATATGTTATAAACAATAGATTACGAAAAGAGGAGCACCTCCCTTGGGTGGCGGTGAAATAAATTTCAAGTGTCCAACTATTCGTGCACTAAAAACAATAGAATTTGTTGATGAAGGTCGGATAAAGCGGATACGTGGAATCGCGTAAGTATTTTCATCTCTCATGCTATCTTCATAGCTCAAATAACCAATTAATTAAACTTAAATTAGATGTTCAACACGTGTATCACCACAAACAGCAAACAGAATGGTGAATTCTGCTCGTGCCGTATTGAACAGATACATACCAGATATATACATTTATACAGATGTATTTAAAGGAGGAGAATCTGGAAAGTGAGTTGATCCAAATTAATTATAATTTGGTAATATACAGCAGCAAAATAAAATTATTGTTTGATCTATCTGATGTAACTAATATATGCTTTAATCAGATCTCCAGGATTCGCTCTCTCCCTAGTATCAGAGACTACGACCGGTGTTTTATTTTCTGCCGAAAGAGCAGCTAACCCCGGTGAAACACCCGAAGATATCGGAAACAGAACCGCGAAACAGTTACTCGCGGAAATACGAAATGGCGGTTGTGTGGACTCCATTTCGCAGTGGTTGGTGCTGTTGTTGATGGTCTTATGCTCGGAAGATGTTTCTAAAGTGCGAATTGGGAAGTTGAGTGTTTTTACGTGAGTGTTATTATAATCAGTTAGGTTGGTTGGTATGTAACTGTTTGAATTCTAGTAATCCTTTTTTTTCGATTTTATAGAATTCAATATCTACGTGATATTAAAGAGTTCTTTGGCGTAACATTCAAGATTAAACAAGAAACTCATATCCAACAAGAACAAGAATCATCAAGATTCTCACATAATAATGATAAGAATGAGTGTAATTATACCTTACTATTAAGTTGTGTCGGTATTGGCTATGTTAACTATAACAAAAAGACCACATAGATCTATTTTTGATGTTTTTAAAGTTCATTACAGAATATTCTTTATATTCAGTGTTGATTTAATAGCAAAAATTATCGGAATGACAAAAAATTGTTCCATTCGTGTAATAAAGAAAATAGTTAAATATTATAATTTTCTCATCATCGTATTATAAACTAGAAACGTCAAATCCTGAGCATAAATCTATCGCTATGCATTATTATTTTCTGTTTTTGTCCCTTCTAAGAGGAGAGAAAGTTATCTGTTCCAATGCCTCTATGATTTGCGGATTAATTGGATGGAAAATTTTAAATATTTTATTATTAGACTTGGCGCCAGTGTTGGAAATTTCGGTGTTTTCGATATTCGATTAGTTTTCCCATTAATTTATCATTAGAGAACAGTTAGCAATCACTCTAATGTTTGGGAAACAACCATAACTTTATTTTTTATCTGTTCTATGGGGCAAAAGTTTGTCGAAACATGTAATTTCAAATGCCCATAACTCGTATTAATTTGTTCAATGACTAAGAAGGAATTTTTTCTAGAGAAATAGATTTGCTAATAAATGTACAAGAGAATATTAGAATGAAAAAGCCTAATTCAATTTATTCGCTTAATCCTCGAGTAAAAATTATCAACAATATATTACTGGTTTATTTTATTATTATTATTTTTGTTTTTTGAATACTACGGTGTAATCCTATTTATACCGATTATTATTATTATTATTATTATTATTATTATTATTATTATTATTATTATTATTATTATTATTATTATTATTATTA